TTACACAAAGGGCCTCAAATGGGGGTGGTTGCGGGTCCACAACAGGATCCAGGCTGAAAGCAGGTTTTGCTTGGCCCATGCAGTGTTTTTTAAAAGTGAAGTTAAGCCAATGCTTTAAAAGCACAGGATCTAACTGAAAAATACAGATTGCCAGCTTCTCTTGAGAAACAGGAAGAATCAAAAAGTATTTATAACCCTAGTCGGTCGCTCAGTGGTTAGAGCACCGGCCCTCGGACTGAAGGGTTGAGGGAGCGATTCCGGACAAGGGCACCTACCTTGGTTGCAGGCTCGATCCCTGCCCCAGTTGGGGCAGGTGCAGAAGGCAACCAATCAATGTGTCTCCCTCACATAGATGTGTCTCTCTCTATATCTCTCCTCCCTTCCACTCTCTCTAAAAATCAATGGAAAAAATATCCTTGGGTGAGGATTAACCAAAAAACCATTTTTTTAATAGAACATCTACTACTAGATGCCAGACACTATTCTAGGCACTGGGGATACAGCATTAAAACAAACACAAAAGAGGAAAACCACCTTGTTACTCAGCCTTCCAGCAGGAAGACAGACAACAACCAAACAGGTCAAATATAAGACGTACCAGCCGATGATGTGCACTTTAAAGATAAATGAAACAGGAAAAGGGACTGGTGATGGAGAGGGACGAGTGACTTTAAATAGGTGGTCAGAAGGGCTCTCTGAGGCGGAGCATTCCAGGTGGCGGGGGGGAAGCAAGTGCAAAGGCCCTGGGGTGAGCAGTGCTCTGTAAGCTGGAAGTGCCCTCTTCCCATTGGTGTTGTTAAGCTCAAAGCACAGAAGCCTGGGGCTGATCCTGGTGACCTTTGCCACCACAGCCACCATGTGGGAAAGACTTGCCAAAGGATGGAAGTGGAGCTGAGAGATGGAGGAAGACAGGTGCCTGATGATGAGCTGGAATGCTGGATCTAGCCTTGCCTGAATCTATTATGGCTTTCTTGGATACCATGAGCCAGTATATTCCTCCCCCCCCCCCCCCGCCCCGTTAAGTCAAATTTAAATTGAATTTCTGCATCGCAACCCTCCTGAACTCTCTGTGTCTTCATCGATCAGTTACCTTGGATCTAACTTCCACCAGGATTGGTTGAGCTCTGGAAAAAAGTACACCAGCCTTCAGCCGCTCCCTGTAGCCCCTCCCGCCACCTCAGAGGCTCAGCCACCCAAGCCGGGGCCTTGCAGGGGGACAGGAGTCACCTGTGAAACACCCACACCCAGGCCTGCTGAGACCCTGCACTGACTATTAAAATTCAGTGACAATAAGCAGCACTAATTAAAAGCAAAACTAAATACTTAATAAGACAAATGAGGTGGCAGCATTTAAAGTCAGGATGAGAGAGCTGGCAGTAATTAAAAATAAAGATTAATTTCTCTGCCTTCTCTAAAAAAATGTGTGTGTGTGTGCGCGCGCGCACGTTTGTGTCCAGAAAAGGCTTTGTTTTGTTAATGTACAAGATGCCATGGGAACAAACAGGTGATGGGATTGGTTCTGCCTAGGGGTGGGGTCAGGGGAGTCTTCCCAGATGAGGGAAATTGGGACTGGCTCTTGAAGGATAAGCTGGAGTGTGCAAGACATGAAGGATGGAGGAGAGGATGAGGGGAACTGAGGAGGCAAGGCTCAGAGGCGTCAGTGGACAGGAATGTTTAGGGAGCAGAGAAACCCATGAGGATGGAGCCTGGGGTGATGGGAGGGCAGGGAGGAGGGGGAAACAGGACTGAAAATAGAGGGGGGGGCAGCGATGAACTCATTACTGCGGCTCAACAACCACAGTGCGTAGCGTCCCCAGCACTTTCCAGACAGACAATCCCTCCTTCCACTTAAAGACCCAGAAGCCAAGAAAGACCACATGCTTTTAGCAGTCGGTTCAGCAGGGCAGCTTAGGGGACCGGTTTGGGGGTCAAGCCATTCAGCCTGACAAGTATATGCACCTCCCTGACCTCATCTGTAGAGTGGGGATGATAGGCTTCATGTCAAAATAGAATTCCTGTGAGGATGGAGTAAGATAATGTACAGGAAGCCCCGGATCCAGGGCCTGGCACAAAATACCCCTGGTCAAGTGGAAGCTATCATTGATTTGTGTTATGATTAATAATTCCTTCTTCCCCTGGATTATGGATCCCTCCGAGCCCTGAGTCTATAAACCCAAATGCCACAGTAGCAACCGCAGAGGCGGACGCTGTTAACAGCGCAGCCTCCGGGGCTCCCTGCACAGCCCAGCCAATTACCTGATTCCTTGATAAAGCAGAAACCTGCCTTTGTTGTGCTGTTAACCGAGCTTATCTTGGCCTCAGCCACGGCCCGGCGAGGAGGGAGAAGAGGAAAGCTCGGGACGGGTTTCTGCATTCGTGCGTGCGTGCACAGACACACGGCCCCAAACAGGGAAATGTGATTAGGCAGGTCTGCGTATTAAAACACGTCGTTTCGCTTAATGGCCCCTGGCTGCCACTTAGGCCCAGGTTGCAATGAAACTCATTCGGATTAAAATTCAGCTGGAACGGACTCACCTACAGCCCTAAATCTCATCATGCCATGGAAACCCCAAGTTTCATCCTCATCCTTCCCTTAAGGACAAAATACAGACAGTCCCCAACTTACAATGGTTTGACTTATGATTTTTTTTATTTTATGACTAGAGGCCTGGTGCACAAAATTTGTGCACAGGAGGGGGGGTTGTCCCTCAGCCCTGCCTGCACCCTCTGTAATCTGGGACCCCTTCGGGGATGTCTGACTGCCAGTTTAGGCCCGATCCCTGTGGGCAGTTGGACATCCCTCTTGCAATCCGGGACTGCTGGCTCCTAACTGCTCGCCTGCCTGCTGACCTGATCACCCCTAACTGCTTCTGCCTTGGCCCCGCCACCATGGCTTTGTACGGAAGGACATCCGGTCTAATTAGCATGTTACCCTTTTCTTAGTATAAATGGTTCCAAAGCGATACAATACTAAATTATATGAGACCAATACTTTATTATAAAACAGGCTTTGTTTAGATGATTTTGCCCAACCGGAGGCTAGCATAAGTGTCCTGAGCACATTCAAGGTGGGCTAGGCTAAGCTATGATGTTTGGTTAGGTGTACCAAATGCATTTTCAATGTATGATATTTCCAAATAAATCTCTGTTTATTGGGGGGAAGTAACCCCATTATTACATCAAGGAGCATCTGTATTCAGAGCAGGGAGTGGCACTTATTCCTTTTTTTAAATGACAGAAGTCCCCATCCTCTCATCTGAGGAGCATTCCCATTTCACAGATGAGAAAACTGAGGCCCTGGGGTTTGTCAAGATCACACTGGGAGCAGGTGGACTATTCAAGGACTCAGACCTGAGTCGTGTATCAATGAGCCTTCCGACCACCCTTCTCTATTGATTGTCAGTGCAAACAATATAATCTTTGGTTAAGCATATTAATTTGCTGTTTTCACATGGCAAATACCATTGTACGAGGGCAGCATCAAATGGTCCAACCTAATAATAAAAATAGCTTTGTTGGGTATCTTCCATTCACTCCTCCAGGTCCACTCACCCTCCACCCTGCTCTGTGGCCTGGGAGGCTGCCCTGCGTGGACCGTATCAGCAGCAACCTTGCCCTCCAGCTTCCGGTTGGGTTTATCTAACGAAAGACACCAGCAGAAGACCGGAGGGGGTGAGAAGAGAGACGCACTGGGGTATTTACCCCCCTGGACCCCTCCCACCAGACACCACAGCCTCTGTTGAAGGTCACAGCTCTTGTCAGGAGGACCGCG